ACACGCGCACACGCGCACACGCGCACACGCGCACACGCGCACACGCGCACACGCGCACACGCGCACACGCGCACACGCGCACACACGCACACACGCACACACGCACACACGCACACACGCACACAAGCACACACGCACACACGCACACACGCACACACGCACACACGCACACACGCGCACACGCGCACACGCGCACACGCGCACACGCGCACACGCGCACACGCGCACACGCGCACACGCGCACACGCGCACACGCGCACACGCGCACGCGCGCACGCGCGCACGCGCGCACTCGCGCACGCGCGCACACGCGCACACGCGCACGCGCGCACACGCGCGCACGCGCCACTGCGCCCGCGCGCGCACGCAACGCACTAACGCACACGCACACACACACGACACACGCACACGCCACGCACACGCACCCAGCACACGCACACACGCACACGCACACGCACACGCACACGACACGCACACGCACACGCACACGCACACGCACACGCACACGCACACGCACACGCACACGCACACGCACACGCACACGCACACGCACACGCACACGCACACGCACACGCACACGCACACGCACACGCACACGCACACGCACTCGCACGCGCACGCGCACGCACACGCGCACACGCACACGCACACGCACACGCACACGCACTCGCACACGCACACGCACACGCACACGCACACGCACACGCACACGCACACGCACACGCACACGCACACGCACACGCACACGCACACGCACACGCACACGCACACGCACACGCGCACGCGCACGCGCACGCGCACGCGCACGCGCACGCGCACGCGCACGCGCACGCGCACGCGCACGCGCACGCGCACGCGCACGCGCACGCGCACGCGCACGCGCACGCGCACGCGCACGCGCACGCGCACGCGCACGCGCACGCGCACGCGCACACGCACACGCACACGCACACGCACACGCGCGCGCGCGCGCACGCACGCACACACACACACACGCACACACACACACACACACGCACACACACACACATAACAGGATTCCCTATGTTATCGCATATGTTCTGGGTTTTTGTCTTCCCCCCACTTCCCATATTTCCCATATTCTCCTGGGGATATGGTGTCTGTGCGTGTTTCTCCCCTCCCGAAGAAGATCGGCCAGGAACAGAGACGAAGCCAAACCCGCTCGAAACCGGTTCCCCAGACCCCTGCCGGAGCCATTGGGTGCAGCATCTCACCCTGGAAATCCGTTCGGGACGGTCCGGGGCCCAAGCCTTTCCCGGAGCCTCGAACCTTCGGGTGTTGCTAGAAGTGTTCCTGGCCCACGGTGCCCCCAGGATTCTCGGGGTGGCCCAGGCGGCTTCCAGGGCGCCCCTTGCAGGGCCCAGAGGGCCCCTGGGGCTCCAAAATGGAGCGAACAGCTGGGGGCACCTTGGGCCAGGGGTACTTCTAGCAACACCCGAAACCTCGCCCGCCCCCCTTCGTGCTCGCCGGAACCACTGCTCAACCGAGCCCGTTCGATGAGCGAGAGGCCGAAACATATAGAATCTACGAAAGGCGGACCGCTGAGGCCGCCACCGGCCCGCCGCCCTAGCAAGGGGCCATGGCGTACAGAAGACCACCCCGCGATGCCAGGGTAATCTACAACTGCGGAGCAGAGCCAGCTGCTTCGGCCTCTTGCTCCTCTTGTTTGAACGCCCGGAATGGGCGCGGAAAGAATGGACACAATGCCCAACGGCAAATGTTGTCCCGAACCAACAGCGGCCGCTGTTGGGCAGGCGGCCTTCTGTCTCGAATGGACACAGGCCGCGGCGGCGTGGACAGCGAGTCCTGTTCAAAATGAACAGGATCCACTGTTGCGCATTGCACCCATTCTTTCCGCGCCCATTTCGTTCGTGCCGATCCTGCTCCTCCTGCCTCTCCTCGCCCCGCTCCTCTTGCCCGCGGCCGGCGGGCCCAGCGGCTCTGCGTGGGTCCCCCCTCCGCGGCCGTCGCCCCGTCGGCTGGAACCAAAGACCGATGGGCCCGAACCAGTGCCGACGCGCTCCCTGCCAGCGCCGCTGCCGCTGCTTTCCTGGGCGCGGCACCGGCGCCCACTGCCGCTGGGCGCCCGCCGGCAGGCAGGCGAACACTTGTAAGTGATCAGTTGTCTTGGCCAAGTGCAGTCGGCCCCACGAGGCGCCCAAAACTTATCTGACGAGGTGGTGGCCTGGAATGCTGAGAGATGAACGCATCGGGCGTTTCGTGCGTGGCACTACCTCGCGAATCGCTGCCAACTCTGCCTGGGGGCTGCGGTAACAACCCTGAATTCCGTCACGGCCGCAGGGCCCCAAGCCTCGACTCCGCTGCTCTCCGTTTAAGGTTCCACGCATCTAACGAAAACCATAGGATCCCTGGCCCCCGTCCTGCAACTATCGGCTAGACGCTGGGCAAGAGTGACCTTGGTTGCGCAGCTTTTGGGGGCGCGAGGGAGCCAAACCCAAGGGCGTAGGCCGCTTCAATC